AAATCACACAATATTATAAATAAAGTTTCAAATCCAAACAACATAATAACAGAATATTAGTTTGTATTTTAGTTTGTATGTGTGAGATAATGTGTGAAATGTCAAAATATTAAATGAGGGGCTAATGTATAAATATATGATAATTAGATACTTAAATAGAAGAATGGTAAAAAGTTAGTAAAAAGAATAAAAAGAGAATATTCCTTTTTGGCGATGAAAATAGTGTAAACTGTTGGAGATAAAATATTGTTTGATGTGATGTTTACACCATTTTAGTGTAAAAAATGGTGTAAACTGTTGGAGATGGCCTTATACGAGAAGTTCGTAATTACATAGGGCAGCATTAGAATATGAAATGTAATAGTGTTGGCCCCACCAATAAAAAATCTCATATATTTTAAAAATCATATAACAACTTTTCTATTTGTATTCCGATTATTACAAAAAATATATCAAATTTTATAACTTTTTACGACCTTTCAAATAAGACCAGTATTACTTATATAAAAATAAAATATAATTTTTTACCCTTAAATGATTCATCAAGCATTCAAGCTTAGCTTATGAACCAATTTTTTCACCAAATAAGTAACTTATGATTTCGTGCGCTGAATTATATAATACTAAGAAAAAGTAAGCTTGTAGTTACTTTTCTAGCTATAGTGCCTGAAATTATTGTAGATGATCATTTTAACTATTTTCCGTATAATTTTTTCTTTATTTTATTAATAAAGTATATTTAAATTTTTCCCCCCATAAATCAGTAGAATCTGTCAACCCAAACACTTCAGCCAGAACTTTATAAATTTTAACAGAATCAACTTATTCAACTGATTTCGGTATTACCAAACATGCTCTTGAAGTGGTATAATTTTTTTTATTTTGTACTTTGATTATTACAAAAAAATACCAAAATTAATAACTTTTTATTATCTCTTACACGACTCCAATATTACGTATATAAAATAGAAAAAAGTAATTGAGCACTTCAAAAAACTTATGTTTCTTAAAGTGTTATTTTTTATGTGTACTCCAATTGTTACATAAAATTTATCAAGTTTTACAACTTTTTGTTATATTTCACCTTCCCTCCTTCTTTTTTTACAATATTCATTACACCTACTACATATTTTCCCTTAAATATTGTGTCAAGATTTAATGTATTGATCTTTCAAACATGGAGGGAGTATTAGTTTGTTCGCTTTAGAATCTTTTTTTATGGGGCACACTATTTATTAGGGGTGGGCAAAAATCTCGGTCCCGGTGTCCCAAACTGAAAAATCCCGATACCGTTCTGAAACTATCTCGATCCATTTACGACGCAATTTTTTCATCCCGAACCGGTCCCGCACCGATATTAACCGGGACGGGACCGGGATAGCTATAAAATATAATGTCCCGTCCCGTTGTCCCGCTTGAAATTAATATGTTATTTTAAATTTCTAATGCTATTTAATAGTCAAACACAATTAAACATTCTTAGTCCTTAGTCCCCCTAGTGTAATTTTATCTTATTTCATGTCTCTCTTAGTCTCATTTCTTTTGATTAAATTTTAGTTCTCATTCCAATACTAATACATAACATATTATTACGTGAGGAATACTATTTAAGATGGAATAACTACTACTCCAAATTATAGTGTTGTTATAGATTTAATATTTTCCAAAATAACTACTAGAAAATATATATAGTGTCTTTATAGATATGATATTTAATTTAATGTGGTATTGAAAATTACAAGTGTACTACAAAAAATAAAAATATTTTGCGCTACTATTCTACTAGGGGAAACACAAGATTAGGGGGACCAAAAATATTAACAAGACAAAAATTTAAAATAGTTAATTAAAGAGTTTACTGAACTTTTTAGGGAAGCTAAATTTGCAAAAATAGTTACGTCTTTATTTTGATGTTATGCTTATTTTTATATCACATTTCACAAATGCATATTTTATGGGACATCCCGAACCGTCCCGGTTTTTCTCGGGTTGTCCCGGTCCCGTTTTAAATGGGACAACATTGGGATAAAGACTTATCTCGTACCATACCGGACCGTTGTTATAAAACCGGGACGGGATCGGGATAAGTCAAATCCCGGACCGTCCTGGACCGTGCCCACCCCTACTATTTATTCGAGTGATGACATAGAATTTGTGTACTTATATTCCGAGCTAACATTCCAGATTAGTAGTACTCCGTATGTATTTTTTATTTTTTATATTTTGAATATTGATGTCATATGAAATATAATAGAAGATTATTAATTTTGATATATTTTTTTTATTAATCGGAGTACAAATAAAAAAATATAGCACTTCAAAAATAGAAGTTTTTTAAAGTGTTAATTTTTTTTTTCTTTTTATATATGTAATATTGGTGTCATATAAAAGATAATAAAAATTATAAATTTTGATATATTTTTTGTAACCATTAGATTACAAATAAAAAAGTTATAGTAGTTTAGAAATAGATATGTTTTATTAGTGGGACCCATGATTATTTTAGGGAGTACTCCGTATTAATTAACCTTGTCCATGGCTTGCTACTTAGCGTACGTTACCTAAGCACCGTATATAATTCGTATATAAGCTGCGTTGAGTTAACTAGAGTTTACCTCAACATTATTTTAGGAAATAGTTTTAACCGAACCTTTATTTGGGAAATATTTTTTTATTTAACATTATTATAGGAAAAAACTCTGTTAAATACGTAATTCCGAAATAGGAGTACACTATAGCCCGTTTGGTAGCGCCAAAATCGACTGTTTTGGCTGATTCTGCTGAAATTTATGAAGTTCTGGCTGAAGTGGCTGCATTGGCTGATTCTGCTGATTTTAGAAAAAAAAATTAAAATATATTTTATTAATAAAATAAAGAAAAAATTATATGTAAAATAGCTAAAATGGTCATCTACAGTAACTTCAGCCAATACAGTCAGAAAAGTAACTACAACCTTACTTTTTCTGTTTATTACACAATTCAGCGTGCGAAAGCAAAAGTTACGTGTTTGGTGAAAAACTTGGTTGATAAGCCTGATAAGCCGAAAAACAGTGTTGCCAAACGGCCTCTATATATTTTGAGACTCACAAAATAAGTCACGTTTTTATTGATTAAATAAGATTAATTACATTCATGTTTGAAAATGCAATCATCATAAAACCGTGTACTGCCAAAATACGACACTAATTAATTACCTCTATATAAGTAATAAAGACATTGACAATCATAATTTGAATTACACAAATGCTTTACTCTTAATTAGGATAATTTATGTAAATATATAAACGCTTTTTATGCTAAGTCAACAAATTTGGTACTCCTATTTTGAACTCACAATCATTTTTACTCTTTAGGACAATTTCTTTTAATCACATGCATTCAATGTAAAGTAGTTAGTTATCCCTGAAATTTGTTATCTATGTTATACTCCGTATCTAAAACAAATATCTCTTATTTATTTTAAAATTTAAGAATTAAATAGTCAGAATCTTACATAGTACTTCGTACTTCGTATTACATTGTTGAACAAGTATACAAAATACAAAAAGAAATGGATGAAGAATTATTTACGTCAAAAGCTATACAAATTGTATATGTATACCGAGACACACACAATTAGTATATATTGATTATATTTATATATAGAACTAAGATATAATTACAATAATATTAGCAATAATATTCATTATCCAACTATTTTAATACTCCGTATATTAAATAAAATAGTCGGAACTACTTTTGACCATTGTGTATTTAACTCGTAAAAACTAGTAATAAATTTTATCACTTTCATCAGAACTTGGGATATGAAATGAAAATCCTATTGTCAATATTATCATTATTTTGGTTAATAAATGAAAGTTGAAATTAATTAGTTGATGGCTTGATGATATTTTCTTGGCTATTCGTTTGTCTATCATTCTCACGTTATGTGTGGTGTAATTAATAAACCAACCATTACTTTTATCTTATTTATGACTCCCCGTATTAATCTAGTTTCAACAAACATCCGAAAACAGACAGACGGTCAAAATATCTGACAGCGCACAAGATATAAATCAATGGTTAATCATGAAACATCCACATATACATGTAACCATAACTATATTATATAGAAATGAAGTAATTAGGGATGAAAAGACAATTACAATATAACTTAGGGACTAAATTCAATCAACACAGAATACATCTAAACATATACAGTAACTTGAGACATAAAAATCATTTAAATTCAATCAGATCTAATCCCAAAATATGCAAAAACAGATAAACAAGAAAGACAATATCATGTAACAGGCATACTAAATCACTGCTGAATCCACAAGCTAGATGCCAATTACTATATACTGTTTATAATTAAGTAATGTATCAATTTCAGATCTTGCATGTTTTCAACTAGCAATAGCACAATTCATGCCGCATCTAAAGCTTCAACATAGCTTTAATTAGCCAACTCAGTTCATGCTTTGATCTTTTGGTGATCTAATTAATTTAGAAAAATTAGGAATTCAATTATTTGAAATAAGATATATAAAAACCCTTATTAATATGAAGGGACATAAATTAACTCAATCAGTTAATGTAATTGAAAGGGACAAGACAACAAATAAGATAAGAATTATCTTATTCAGGAGGGTTTATCAATCCAAACATCATCATAACATTATATTCCTAGGAATAAGGGGATCTCAAGAATCATAAGCTGATCCAAATGAGGATCTGATTATAAGACATAGTCATTTAAATAACACTCTCATTTGGGGAAAGACCATTTGATAAAGATGCCAAATATGTATGTAGTATATATCCACATTATTAACAAGAGAATCCTTCAATGTATCACCATATATTCCATATTTCCATCACTTAAAACCACAATCAAGATGGCTTTACATGGATGAAGTGAAATATCAATTCCCAATTATAAACTAAACATGAAGCCAAATACTTTAGACATTAAGAAACAAGATATTAGATTGTCAGGTTGAGAACAGAAGTAAGCAAGTTTAGAATGAAATCTGATTTAATTAACATCCATACTCACATACAACAATGTTAAACCCTAGAAACAACAACAAATCTCAATACAATGCAATAATGGAATGATCATGTAAAACCTAACAAGAGAATGATATATTTACTGAGTGCACAATAAAGTCTGATCTACCATGAAAATCTTAAACTTGCTCTATCTTAGGTCTCCTTACATATACACTACTTAGTTCATGATTGCTTTCTAAAATTTCATATAGAGCATTATTACAAAGATGTTTTTTTAAGACTGATGAAGTATATAACTTAGGCCTTGTCTGGGAGGGAATATGGGATTTGGGAGAGTTTCTTTACTCCAAGAGCTTTATAAGGAGCGTTTCGGTTGATTCAAGATGCGGGAGTTTCAGTTGAAGATAATGGTCAATTGAGAGCGATATGTACGCATAATTTCTCTATAGCCCCGCGTTGGATAGGAAAGGTCCCAAGTGTCCCGATATCCCCTCCATTGTTACCAAACGAACTCTTAATAGTTAGAGGGCGGTGGACGAGGAGGAGTAGACCAAAACACCTCATGGGGAATGTGGCCATTGTTGGATAACAAGTTTAGCGGTAAGTTGTACAAAGGGATGGATGGAGGAGGTGAAGGATCAGCAGTTCTTGCTCCACCGCCTTCATTTGTCGGCAGCGGCGGCTCTTCCTCCGGGAGGGGCAGTCTTTCGTAGGTTGCATTGGTGAAAGTGGCGGCGATGACCATCACCGGCCCCGAAGCCATCAGTGCCCCAACAACAATTCCGCCCACAACTTGGCCCTGACCACCGGCCAAGTACACCGTCAATCCCGTGGCTCCGGCAGGCGAAGGAGCCGGCAAAAAAGATCCGGACAAAGACAGTATCTCGAACCTCCCCTCGAGAGTAATCACCCCGCCGGGAACCGTAGGCTGCCTGAAGCTCACATTGGCCACTATCCCGCTGCCGCTTAGGACCGATACTCCACGGCGGCGCTGCTGCGCGAAGGCGGCGATGCTCTCAATAATGTCACTCCCACTGCTGATCTCCATCACGTGGCTGCGGAGGGAATTGGGGCTCTCCTTAGTTATGATGACCGGAGGTTTGGGCCTGTTCTTGGACCCCGGCGGCCTCCCCCTCGGCCGGCGGCCGGAAGTTGTGCCCTGTTCATGAGCAACGATGGCGTTTTGCTCCTCGCCGTCGTACTCAGCCTCCTCGTCCTGACCGCCGTGGTTCCCATCGCTGCCAGGGTTCTGACTACCGCTGCTGGTGGCTTCTCCGGCCGGCAAGAACTCCTGCCCGACCCTCATCAGCCCAAGATGGCTGTTCATCTCCATTTGATTCATTTGATTCATAGATACATTCCCACTCCACCATGGATTCGCCATACCAGAGACACACTTCAAATACAACCAACAACACACAAATAATTAATCAAAAAAAAAACCAAGAAAATAATCAAGAACGGCAGATCTCCATCCATAAATATACCTCGAACCCCATCCCTAACTGGATCTTCTCAAAAAACACGAAAAAGATCAGATCTTTGAACACCCAATTTCGGGAAACAAACAAAGAAACAAATTCGGTGAAGAGATCTGATCTGGAGAAAAGTGAGAGATGAACTTACCTTATATAGAGACGACTAACAGACTGGCGCAAAGGAATCGAAACTGGGCGGAATCTGTCCAAGCAGAAACTTTAAAGACTGGATCATGGGGGGCTAGGGTTTGGGTGGTGATTGAAAGATAGATTCATGATGAATAGTAGCTTAGCTAGCTAGGGTTGTTGGTGTTTTTGCGGAATTCCATTCCATCAACTCAAAGTCTCTGCGGGTCTGGGAGTGGGTGGGGCAAGAGGACAGTGAATATAAACGGTGAAGACGGATTTTTCTTTTTCAGGAAGTGATTCTCGGGGGGTTTTGCAGAGAAAGCGTGGGGACAGCGAATGCTTTGTTGTGTCCGCCACCCAAATTACTCTGGGTGGACTATCATATCAGGAAAAGGCCTCCCTCCAATCAGGATCCTTATCATACACTCTATTTTTTTTTTTTTGCGAGTGAAATCTGGTATGCGCGAAATAAAGTAGAAGAGGAGAATCAGGAGATGGTTACATCAGAAAGAGGTATGGCCTGTTTTTTGAAACGGGAAAATGGCAGCATTTCTGCCTCTATTTTGAGTACCTTTGCGTGATTACCATGAAATGATGATAAAATGTGGTTATGTCTGAGATCACTGATGGAGTTTACGTAGGCGGCACTCATGATGGGTAAATATAGTGTTTTTGGAGTTGATTACTAGAGCATATTTTGGAGTAAATAGAGACTAATTAGATTAAATAAAGTCTGCATTTTGAATTTCAAAATGAAGTCAGAAAAGGATGTTATGACATCACTAAGGCCTCTGAAAACCGACCAAACAATTACCTGAGAGAATGTAAATTACGTTATGATTACACTCTAATGGACATATAGTGTGGTTTTGTCCAAAGTTGTTGCTTGGAGTTGAATTCGAGTCCTCTCTCTTGTGACACATCTTCCTAACAGGTGAGTTACGCCCTGATAAGAAGATGGTGAATGAGATCCGAAAACTACTAACTTCTATACTCAAACATATTATCTTTATTATTTTAAGTAAATCAAGTCTCACACGCTCAAACAAACAAAAGCTCTACCTAAATGTAGAAAATACTAGACTCCTCGTATAAATCAAACTCAAATAAGCTTAAAATTAAAATCCTTAGAAAATTCGCATTTGTCATATGTTTTGAGATCCTTAGCCCTGACTTGGACCAAACTTAGGAGGTAGAAGAATGTAGATTCTCTAATTTGATACTTATAAAACTTCCTTGTCAAATTAGTTCAATGATATAAAAAGGTGTTACCAATTTACAATAAGGAAATTGTATATCCTAAAACAGAAAGAAACAAGAACAAAGCATCACATAGAGAAGGAAAGGGACTTCTATTGGCATGACTAGCTCAAATAAGTACAAGGCCTCACGCTTGTATTCAGTTTATTTTATAATAATATAGAATAGAATAATCTATTTAATTGACATTTTTTAAAATACAACTTCAACTTCCATAGCCGCAGAAGAAAAGAATTCATATGTTATCTCTAAATCTCTAATTGGTTTTAAAATGACATCTGTTCGATGTGTATCTAAAAATACGTGGTAACCACTAATTTAATGTTTGAGCAATTTTTAAATAATTGAGGTTGGAATGTTGGATTACACTAAAATTGACAACATGAATCTTCACTCTAGTGATTAAGATGCGACAAAAAACAGTTTCCACTTAATGTCTTAGTTGATCACATGAGACTATGACTCTAGAAAGTCGTGATCCGAAAACAATTTTCTATGTCATTGAACAGTGACAAATGACAAGAAAACTCGAATATATGCGAGTTTTGCACACACTTTCTCGGAGTTTTTGACACTATCTAATTCAAAACACTTTTCACTTTCGTCTAGTACATCATAATCAAGTCTGGGTAACTTAATTTTTTTCTCATTATATTTAGTGCAAATTTTTAAATTTTTAGATTTAGCCACCTTCCTAATGTTTAATCTAGTATAATTGCTCTTCAGTTCAGGTGATCCTATAATCCTGGATCCATCCCTGCCTATTTTATAGTATGAAATATTACAAAAATATAACAAGATTGAAATGAATTTATTAGAGATTGGCATAGATTGTTGGGATTTCTTCGTGCTAAACAGATAATAACAAAACGACTTTGGTAAGGAGTTTGACATAGGTTTAGCTAGGTAGCATCTGCGAATTCGTGCTAAATTTGTGCTAAATCTGTGCCAAATCTGTGTCAAAAAACGTTATGACAAAAGTTACTTGCCAAATTTGTGATAATCTATATAGGCACATAATATAGTGTGTAAGAAAGGGTGATGACGTGCGTTTCAATCACAGAGATTCAATTCAGAGAATGTGTCATCACCAAAAGAGATAAAGGCATAACGAAAGTGCCATCATCTTGTTCGGTGGCTTGCTTGAGACCATGGTCCATGACATCCTTATCCGAGTTGAATTAAATCTCATCCTTTGAAGATAAACAGTTTGTGTCTCTAAATCGTGCAAGTGTCGTGCTCTTGCACTTCGAAAAAGCTAAGGTTACAACTTATATGGTCATTCTCAAAACTTAAGAACATATTTCTAAAAATGTTGATTGAAGTTTTTTATCAATACATTATATTTATCGCAAAAATTTGTATAAAAAAAAAGATAAGGGGTTTTCAAAAATATTATGCCGTATGAAATAAAATTGGTTTATAAGAGTATAGATAAAAGTTGCTCCGCACTATAGTACAATGGCATGGTCCGTTAAGTGTAACCTTAGCTTGAACATAAATTACTTACACTAAAGTACATCATTGCAATTTCTAATCTGTGCATTGCGATTGAGATTTAGTCTAAACTGCTCTAATTTCATATGATCTAATGCAGGGGTGGAGATAGGGTACTGTGTTGATATAATATTTTTTTACTCTAAAAATATAGATATTTTTAAAATTTGCGGAGTGTCCAGGGTTGGCCCCTGGCTGTGCCCCTCATATAACGTAATGTTTGTTCTTTTTTTTTTTAAATATGTTCTAGAGTGACTGGTTTGTGTGATTTATTTGATCTAGTCTAATATAATTTCGGAATGAATAACTCTATGTGAACTTGGCGTGAGGGCATATCTTTTAAGACACAAAGAAAAGATTGGTGAAGGCTCTTGATTGTTATTAATTTGAGGTGACATGTGCTTGCTTCCAGCCTCGAACAAAAATATGCATTATACGTGTTTCATGTGGCATTCTGGCAGATATATGATCTATAACAAGTTACGTGAAAACCATATAAAGTTATAATGATGATGCAATCGAAGAGTATGATATACAAAATGAATTCTAATGACAAGAAAAATAATACCAGGCCCATATTTAAGATATACTGCGTATGACTCTAATTTGTTCTCATTTTTCCATAATTCATAAATTCTATATTAATTACACGAATTTTTTTAATTTGTTTTTGTAATTGTGTGACTCCATATTGTTGAGATGGCAGCGTGACCAGAAAACTACTTAGGATGGCATATACTATGGATTACGTGTATAAAAATAATACCGTACCTAGCTACTTGTAGACGGACTATTATACAGAGTATATTTAAAAGGAAAAATTAGAAAAGTATAAGGAATTTAATACAATACTATCCCACATAATGATAAAATATAAAATCATATAAGGATGACAAAAAAGTTGTTTTATTCATAAAAACTGAAATTGTAAGGAAAAAACAACTCTTCATTTTGAAAAAGAAAAAGGTGCGAATATGCCTTTTTAGTGAAGAAATTAAAAGAACATAGCAAAATCTGGCGAATTTTCAGCCTATTTTGGGGTGTAAAATGATAAGAATAGGTGTACCTTACTATGTCGGCAAAAGGGAACTAAGGTGACATAAGGCCAAGCAAGCAAGGACGATGGACTCATGGCCACTTTTACTACGTTAAGGTGATCGTGCAATAGACATTTTTTCGCTAGTACGGTTCTTACACAGATCATCTGATCTGCACAAAGATTAAAGCACTGATCATGAATCAAGTACAAATGCCATAAATTATTACTCTATTGCAAAATTATTGTCCCCTTTGGCTTTTCATACAGATTAAAATAACACCGTATCAACACTGTTTGGCACTATAGCGATACTGTTTGACACTGTAGTAACATTGTTTGACACTGTTTTGCACTGTTTGACACTGTTTGGTATAGATTTGTTTACTAAATAAGGAAATTAAAGAAACGGGACAATAATTTCGGGACGGACCAAAAAGGAAAGCGGTACAATAATTTTGGGAGGGAGGGAGTACTTCCTATCTGGTAATAGGAAATCCCTATGGAATACTTTCATCCTCAATTTCGACTTTTAATTACATTATTATCTCTTTCGCACTTGTTAATTGTCACGCATTGTTTCATTTTTTTTTAGATATAAGATGTTTTCTTTTGGACTGTTTTCAGTCCCAGACCAGACCAGACCAGACCAGATCAGACCAGACCAGACTTCCGTAGTTATAAAATACAAAGAGACCAGACGTTTACCAGACCAGACCAGCAAATTTTGGTCCAATAGAAAACATCCATACTCTGTACGTCTTTCATGAAGATGAAGAGCCTGTTTGGTGACCCTTTTTTTCGGTTTATCGAACTTATTTGTCAGCTTTTTCACCAAACACGTAACTTTTGATTTCGCGCGCTGAATTGTGTAATAAAGCAGACAAAGTAAGGTTGGAATTACTTTTTGGCTGTATTGGCTGAAGTTACTCCAGAGGATCATTTTAGCTATTTTTTCATATAATTTTTATTTTATTTATTAATTATAAATAATTTAAATGTAATTTTTTCATGAATCAGCAGAATCAGTCAATACAGCCACTTCGGCCAGAACATCATAAATTTCAGGAGAATCAGCCAATTCAGCCAATTTTATTGTTACCAAAAGGTGTTGAATTCAGGATGTCTTGCACAATTTTAAACCAAGGAAAATTGCCTAATTAGTATTGAAAACAATTGTGCATTTTCGACTACTATGTTTTTAATACCTAAAGTAGAAGAATTATTGTCATATTTTGGAAGTGTCGGACTATAAATATGACACTATTTTACAATCTTGACAATAATTACTCATATTTAATGAATAAAAATATGACAGTCCTATTTTAACATTTTCAAACGTTTTTATCCTATTTCGATAATTTTCCCGGGGCCTTTTAGATCACAACCAAGTGTTTCAAAATTAGAGCCAAATTACCGGGGCAGAGCATTGGGTCCGACTAAGCCGGTATGAAGAATATTTTGAAAAAAAAATACCTGAAACTTTTTACATTAAAAATTTAGGCATTTT